CAGTTAAACAAATTTACGTTGAAACTTTTTTGTTAATTGATGAGAAACCAAAATTTTACCCCAAAAATGGGTTGTTCTGGTTTTTTTTCATTTAGCCGAAAATTACGCTGAAACTACTTTGCTAATTGATGAGAAAAACATATCACAAGAAGCCTCTAACACAACCCAACAAAGTTCTAGAAAGGTTGAATCTCCAAAAACCTGTAAAAGATAAAAGATTTTTGCGTGATAGTCAAGAAACGTGATTAATACTATATAAAACCCAAAATATATGCTTAAAAACATTTTTGAAACAATTTACTCAAATTTTTGGAGATTCAACTTTTGTGGAACTTTGTTGGGCTGTGTAAGAGGCTCCTTTTGATATACTTTTCTCATCAATTAGCAAAGTAGCTTCAGCGCAATTTGCGGCTAAATGAAAAACAAAACCAAAACAACCCATTTTTGGGGTAAAATTTTGGTTGAGAATTTTGGAGAAACAATTGCACCATATTAATTCTGGTGAAATTCTGAACGACTTTGGTTGTCCTCATTTTTGTATAATCTTGACACAATTTGAGAAAAATGCGTTTGAATGTTCAAGTTTTGTTTATTTTGTATGGTTTATTTAAATCAGTACTGTAGCGGCAAAAAATATATGCCATATAAGAACAAGACTGCTCTTATCAGGGCGAAGACCTAAATGTTCCGATTGCCTTTAAAAGTCTATGGAGCAGCAATAACATGAAAAAATTGAATGTAATAAAACAAAACAAATTTTTTTTAAAAAACATTCGATAATTTTTTGTGAAAATCATCACCCCACACGCCATATAAAGTACAAAATGATAGATTTCGCTCCTATTAACAAATCAATTATGGCCTATAAGCTTCCGTGAACCAATTTGGAACGATTTTCCAGACGGATTAAATCTCTGCTTACGTTAATAGCGCGAAAGATATCGCGTGTTAATTGTCTCAAATTGGCCAGAACGTCAGTCTTTAAACCCCCATAGTTTTAAAAAAATTGATCACAGGTGAAATATCTTTTCAAACTTACATTCAGGACAACAATAACTTTCAAATGATTTTTTAAAAATTCCGTCAAAAACGGCTAGTTAAAAAGTCGAAATTTGTCTGAAAAAACCACCCGAGCACAAATATTCTTTTACTTTTGTCACGAAAGTCGGAACAATAAGGTCAATAACAGTAAGCCTTATAATTTCAGAAGATTTTTTGAAGGTATTTCATGGAAAAATCGTCGAAGTTGGACATTTTGTGAATATATATACTTCACAACCTGCGTGGCAACATGAAGCCAGAAATTGGCTTACATCATCACAAACTGCTCAGACGCAAAACCTAAGGTGGCTATTTTTATGCGCGCATGGCTGAATGCACGATAAACATCTGCCAATCAACACCATTGACTGGCTGAATTGTTCCGACAACTGTCTGAGTTGTGCCAACTCTCAGAAAGCTGAGCTAAGATTGGTTGACATTTTCGGGCATTTGGCTTTCTGTAAGAAGGATTTTTCTAAGACATGGAAATGTAAATCTTCGACATACGCACAGAAAACTGAAGATCCACATCTTCAAACTTTGCACTCCGAAAAAACGTTTCGTAGATAAGCAACAGCTATACAGCATCGGGGAACTTAGTGAAATAATTGAGACACGCAGTGTCAAGATGTGAACAAATTTCGAGATGCAATGTATGCGGTTGCTTATCTAGTAGGAAACACAGGAAAAAAATCTAATAAAACACACTCATTTAAAAAAGTTTTCACGCTAAAACGCGATGTTTTCTTTCTAATTGGCTTTGACTGATTGCTAGTTTTGGTTCATTCCAAAAATCAAATTTGAGCCTGAACAAATTTAAAACCGACTGCAGAAAACATAGCCAACAGACTAAAAAAAAGTCAATAAACGATGAAAACAGAAACTTATTTTTTGCAACAATTTCACCTCTCGAATTTCAAAGATAAAATATATTACTTTTTAGCCTCTTGGATTTCAAGAAAAATTTATGATTGATACTTTTTTGTTCCAACCAACTCAATTGGAGAATACTGGATCTCTAGCAAAATTTTTTATTCTACTGGTAAATCTCAAACTTAACTTCGACTTATAAAACTAGAAGTCGAACACATTTCTCGAGACCATTACCCTTTTAACGTTCGATAGTGGAGTTTGCCATTCAAACAAACAAAAAAAAAGAACCCCGAAATCATAAGTCGAACCCCGAAATACCAAATTTGAGTGGAACAAATTTTAGGAATTGAGAGGGGGGGAAAAGTAAATCATCAAGATCAAGATCTTCATAGACTTTTAAAAAATAGCCAACAGACGGCTAGAAAAAGTCAATGAACGCAATTAAACAGAAAGAATAGTGACTTGTTTGAAACAAATAGCACTTTTCAAATTTCAGCAACAAAAACAGATGCCCTTGAATCACAATATATTTCTATTCATTTTGATGAATGATTCCTTTTTTTTATTAAACTAACCCCATTTAAGAGAACTGGGTCAATCAGTGAAACTTAAACTTTGCGAGAAAATCAGAGAATTAAATTACATTTTTGAAGTAAGAAGTCGAGATAACGTTTTTAGAGACCTTGATAATTTTGCTGTTCGATAGTGGAGTTTGCTCTCCTTTTATTAAAGGTAATGAACGGAACGTTAAAAGAAATCATAACTCAAACCGCTCAAAATAAAATTTGAGCCTGAACAAGTTTAAAGATTTCATCGACTGTTAAAAAACAAGAATTAAAAAAATTCTTCATCAAGTTCATCGTCTTAATATCAAGAGAACAAAAAATTCAAATAGGTGAAAAAATGGCGGGAGAGAGATTTATAAATAGAATAAAGACCATTATATAGGCGAAGCGGAGCATGGCATCATTTGGGATACCACAAAAATAGCATTCCAAGCTAGCAAACAGGATAGGAAATGAAACAATTAAGTCCAAAGAAGACGGAAAAAGTTTCGCAGAAACCACAACTTTAAAAAATCAAAATTTTGTTTGAAATGTTGTTCTATTTGTTTGAAATGTTGTTCTAGTTTTGTCATGAAAACTTCGAAAATCTCAATAGAATTTATATTTCAAAATTTTCATGACAAAATTTTTCAAAGTTTTGCGCAATCCGGGGGAAAGCATACAAAATATGGTCCCCTTGAACAACACAAAATTAGGTTAGTGAGCCGATAAAATATAAACCATGAAAAATTTTTCAAAAAAAGCTCGAAGTCAGTTTGTAGAATTACAAATTGCAGGAGTAGAAAAAATATAAGAAGCAACTACAACGAAAACTGAATACAGCGAAAAATTCTAAGAAGTGGCAGCTAAGTCAACAAACATAAGCAGACAAAAAAAAGACCACAATTTGATAAGGTATACTTCCCGTTTAAAAAGGCAGGTCTTGGTCAGATTTGAATCAAGGACCTTTGCCGTCCCAGGCGTATTCGTTGCTTCCAGACTAAGTTTGCCGGAAACGCTTGGAAATTTGAACTCATTATAAAACAAGATACCAAGTGATTCTGTTAAACAAGTTGTTAACCCCAAAAAAGTATATATTACGAATTGATAAACGCTTGCTAATTGCAAGCGTCATAAGTCTACAATGAAATGGGGTTGTTTCAATGAATTTCGTAAAATTTTGTCTGAAAATCAGAAAAATTAAGTTCAATTTTTCTCGATACTGACAATTATTTACAGAATCCCAGTCACCACCAGTAGAGATTTATTGATATCCCATTCCACTATCTGCGAGATTTCGTTGACATAGTTAAATTGCTCTGGAAAAAAACCATTCATCAAAACACCTCCCTACTCGATGAAGTGGTCGGAACAATTCCTAATCAACATCAATTATCGACTTCTACAATTTTCTTCACGTGTTTTCTAAGCTTCATTTTATTCAAAACCTGCTATTTTCTAGTCAAACATTACCACTGGCACATTCTTTCACACATGCTGAACAAATATAGCAGGCAGCCGTAAATCCCTTAAAAAACGGATAGAAACTCATGTCGCATAAAAAATAAAGCAGAAAAAACAACTCCGATCGATAGTGGAAAAATCAATTAACGGAGAAAAACTGAAACCTCTTTTGCAGCACTTTGTTCACTAATTACCACTGCTTTGGTTAAATTCAATAAAACTGAGGAACAAAAATTTAATTAGTGAAACCTAGGAAAGCCGAACAGCTAAAAATGATTTTAAAAATCTAAAATTTATCCAACATAAGGATACCAAGTATATATAATTTCGAAAGGTCTATCAATTAAGTTAACTATAAAACTACAAAAAACTCTAATAAATCACACGCCAAAACCAACTCAAGTATTTTTTTATTGAAACGGCATCACAATGGGCCAATAACTTATTGGTCGTGGCAATATGAACAAAGTCAATCAGCTCACAATGACGAAACAACGTCTAACCAATATATCCCCCAAAAGTTTTGTCTTGCCAAGTTTTCGAACACATTGAATCAAAAAGGACGGAAACTTTGAGGAATAAAAGTTACAAAAAAATAAATCAGCAATTGGCGCAAAAAGAATCAAATATAAGTAGACATAGAGATGAGTAACATGAATTCAGCTTATAAGATGAAACATTATCCATAGCAGGGGCGGATCTAGGATTTTCTCGAGGGGGGCGGATTTTCAAAAAAAAATTTTTTAGGTCGACCAAATTGATTTTCCGAGCTCTCCCAAAGCACTACAAAGACCCTGTTTTGGCCAAAATTTCTGCGCCGCAGGCAAAATTTTGAAAAAAATTTTGAAACAATCACTTGGCGTTTTTAGGCAATTTTTGGAAAATTTTGACCAAAAAATTGCGTTTTTTTGGCGCGCGCTGTTCCCCCCTCAAAATTAGGATATATTGGCACCAAAGATGCCTTTAGAAAAATTGTATGGCCCGTCACCAAAAATAGATATCCCAAAAAAGTACAAAGGGGGAACCTTTGGGTCGGCAGGGGGTCGGATCCCTGGGATCCCCCCCCCCCCCCCCCCCCCCAATCCGCCCCTGATCCATAGAATGATTACAACAGACATAATTAAAATTAACTTAATAGCTAAGACTTAATGAAGATATTTTGTATCAAATGCTAAGAATGGATAGGCATAAATTTAACATCAGCAGACAAGATCGACGTAAGTAAAGATAAAGCTATTTTTGTGGGTGAGAGAATTAGATGATAGAAAAGTTATCAGGAGAAAGGGAAAGAAAATCGAATTACTTACTAACTTATCGCTATGCTACTTCAAGTTGCTTTTTTGCTGCTAATTCGTCGCATTAGTCAACATAAACATAAACAAAAGATAAACTACTTCAAAAAACTGATAATCAAGATTGCAAACCGTCATCTTTTTGGAATATTTGACAGAAACGTTCTGCTGTTTTCATGAAATAACATTAAAGATGACTAATTTACTAAAACCTACAGTTTAACAATTAAATGAGGCATATACATCTAATTCACTTCACTTAGCCATATATTTTGTAGCCACTGTTGAGGGCGTTGTTGGACGCTGGCATAGCAAGGTTAGATGCAGTTTTGAAAGCTATTGAGTTTTAGGGAATTCGTCAAGGCGATTTTTAGACAATGAGCCCCCAGGGTATGAGTCCAACTACGTCGAGTTGACTCATTCGTGTCAGAAAAGGTTCTCGTCAAACACGAAGTCGTCGATACTCGTGAGGGATGTCATGTCCATGTTAGGCAAATTACTGTACTCCACTGAAACAAGTTAGCAAACATAAATTTGAAGTCAAAGTCAATTATCGACAAAACCGGTGACATCGAGAAGAAAAACCGCACTGCTTACTGTTCATTTGCGATGATGGTCCGAAAGGATTGGCTTGCGCACTCTGCATATCCCCAAATCCTCCTCCCCCGAACCCATGTGACGGGTTCATTCCACTTGAAGTTTGTTGCTGATGGTTACCGGATGATCCAGGATTCCCGGACACTTCCATCGGGGCGAAGTCAGACGATTGGTGGGGCATGGGACTGTTGCCGCCACTATGCGATGGTGTCATGCCTGACATATGCTGGTGCATCATCTGCTGCTGATTACTCGCATGACCATGAGCGATTTGCTGGTGAGATTGTAAATTTGGTTGCAGGTTTTGGTGAGATCCCATTGCGAAGTTGGAAACTGGTTGGTTGCCAGATGCTCCAGCGATTCCCATGTTGGGCCCTGGTCCGCTACCACTGGCCGTGCTGTAGGGTGGCTGGCCTGGGTTATTCTGTGCTGTTAATCGTTGGAATAGTAGATTGGAGGCTTCGGCTAAGGCAAAAGAAGCAGATCAAAGCTTGAATATCGGAATTGTGTTTTAACCATATATTCAAATATATTTTCCAAATGATGTTTGGATTCTACTTTCTTAGTGAGTTTTTTCGTGAAATAGAGTAGCGGATTCAGGGGAGGGGGCTGACGCCACCCCTCCTTTCCCACAAGGATTCGACCCCCTGCCGACCCAAAGGGTCCCACATTTGTACTATTTTGAGATATCCATTTTTGGCTGACTGACCTTAAATCTTTTCTAAAGGCGCCTTCGGTGCCAATCTATACTAATTTTAAGAGGGTAGCGCGCGTCGAAAAACCGCGACTTTACAGTCGAAATTTTCCAAAAAGTGCCTAAAAACGCCTTTTTTGGGAGAGCTCAGATTTTGGAGAGCTCAGAAAATCATCTTGGTTTTTTTGAAAATGCCCCTCCCCCTCAAGAAATTCTTAGATCCGCGCCTGGTGAAATATACTATGCTCAAGATGGCATTTTTATTCAAACTTGTTGACTTATACATACATCTTCGTTCAAGTTTGTACAATTTATTATACAAAAAACACTATTGAAATTCGTAAAGAAAGACTAGGCTTCAATTGGGACTCACAAATGTGTTGATCGCTGGAATCCATGTGTCCACCGAGGGGCTGCAGATTACTCGTATGTTTGATCATCTCCACTCCGTCTGGGTCTAGAGCCAGCTCGGCCAGGAGGGAACATGTCACGCGCAACACAGAGCGCGAATTGGAAGCCAACATCTAAATCACAAGAAAACATTTAGCTGTGTTTTAGAAATATCAATTCAACATCAATTTTCTGAAAAAAGAAAAATTCAACTTTACGGATATTGTCTACGAAGGTATGTAATTTTTTTAAATCTCAACATGGACGTCGCAGAAGTTCATACAGCGTCCATACAAGAAAAAATTAAGTGATCTCAGCTCTTATTCATTGACCTTATTACTTGGTGATTTCATATCAATACCTGTACGAATATGTTGATAGCGTTAGGTGTGCTCTTGATCTGTTGTCTGTAGGCAGCCTGGTTTGGCTGTCCTTTCGATGCCATCAGATGCAGTGCCCCTATCGCCCCCTCAACTATGTCTTCCATCTTCACACCGTCCAGTCTGTACTCCTGGCCGGCAGCCGCCCTCCTCTGCCAATCAGTCTGGGCACATTTGATCACATTCACCAAACGCGCCACAGCTCCTAACAAAAAAAATCTCAAACATTGCAACTGAATCCACATAAAAAAGCGTGAAAAATAAATGACGCTGAACACTTTATGATTAACTTAAGACTCGAAAATCTGTATAAAATGTTAATTACAGATTGTTGTAGTGTTTTCACTCACATACTCTTATTGCCTAATCAAATGCAAACCTTATTATACTCCTCGATTTCATTCGGAGCACCAGATAAGATACTAACCGTGCTGAACAAGATCCGGCAAGTTATCCGGCGCAGTGCACATATTACGCAGCAGTCCCACAGCCGCCTTCAGAACTGGCCACTTGCTTCCTCCCGAGGAGGACCCACTGGCTCCGGATGCAGTCGAAGCGGCCGAGCTGCTGGAACTACCTCCTCCTCCGGCCGCCATGTGCTGGTCCATGAGACGCATCACACAGTGTAGACCGAAACCAGTCCTGATAATGTTTTGCGCTTCGCCTTGTAGCGGGTGACGTGAAGTAGCGTGACGCAGCGCACAGAGCTAAAAGAAAAAATGAAAACTATTTGTACAGCAGCGAAAGGACTTCCATAAGAGCTGTTCACGGCTTTCCGGAGAGACTGAATGTCCCGAAATGAAACAATACACTTAACTTGCCCTATAATTTCTAATTTGATCAAGTTACAAATCATCCAAACATGCATTGCTGATATTTCGAACAAGCACATTGAATTCAGTCGTGGCTTTACATATAACGAAGAAGTTTAGGTTTTGAAGCTAACATCCAAATTAGGTATGTTCTTATCGAGTATTCATTTACTTCCGATTGTCTACTGTCACCTTCAAAGGTCTGAACGATATAACAAATATGGCGAACTAACAGCAAAATGAAGAACTTAAGCATACAAAAATTGCAAGAAATTCATGCCAAAGTTAACATCATAAAGGTAACATCGAAAGATAAAGTGAAGCTGCTCACCGCTGGTTCAATGAGATCCTCGACCTGTTGTGACTTGTCGATTGCAAACAGTAATGCCTGGATACCTTGCAACTGGACAAATGCGTTCTTATTGTTCACATTATTACACAGCAAATTCGACAAAATGCATACTGCGCAACTGGACATGACCGCGTCGTTACATTTCACGTATGGAATCAGCTTCTCCAGAAGATCACGCATGTTGTCGCTCTGAGTTGTAACATCTGAAATGTTTCGTAAAGTCCACAGACAGTTTTGAACAAGTCTTGGACTGCTTGGAGCTCCTGGTTTGTTCAGATGGAAAGCGAGTGACCTCACACCTCCGGCTGCGACTATCGCTTGCTTGTTTTTCGGACACACTGAGAGGACTTTGAGCACCCTACTTATAGTCCACAGAAGCTTCTCGTACTCGTATGAAGTTAGGGCTTTAACCAAGGTGGCTGGTCCGTCTGCATTCAGAATTTCCTCCTTGTTCGATTGGTTTCCGAAACCCAGAGACTGTAAAGACATTATTTTACCTTTGTTAGATCAACTGTGTAATAACTTAAGCAACCCAATGATTCGTTTTAACACAAAAACATCGCTCGCATGCAGTTTGAAAAAGACCATGAACGCAACGAAACAAATAGTGCCTTGTTTTTTTTTAAAAGAATTTCAAAGGAATAACTATATGGCCTTATATATTTTTGACTTTCAAGAAAAATTTGTGTTTGACACTTTTTTGATAAAAAAAATTAACCCACTTTGCGAAAACAGGATCAATAGATCACTTTCGAAACTAGAAGTCGATCACGTTTTTCGTGACATTCAACTTTGGCTATTCGATATTGGAGTTTGCCGTCCTTGAACAAAGGCAATGACCTGAACGACCTATATAAGAAAAATCACTCTTAATAATACATGTGAACTAATTTTAATTAATCTGATCATGTTTTTAAGTCCATTTACCTGAAGCTATAACATCCAATAAAACTTTGCTGTTGAAGGGTAAGTCCTTAGCTTTAGAAAAAATTATCAGCTTCGTAGATTGTTCACTACGACTTACCCGTAGACAATCGACGGTAATTGCAAGGAACTTCACATTGGAGTGTTTCTTCAAAAGGTTCACGAGAATCGGGATTCCACTGGCCATGGCGACTGCTGACTTGGCTCCCTCCTGGTTCAGGAGCAGGTTGTGCAGTGTCGTGATTGCGTAGAACAGGATTGCCTCTCTAGGTGACTGCAGGAGGTTAATCAAAGCCTGGATTCCGCCACATTTGAAGATCGACAACAGACCTGAAAGAAATCGTTTTAGGGCAATGTTGACAGTTGAAAAAAAAAATCGAAACTTCTTACCTCTCCGATAAACCAGTTAAGAGCGTAAAAGCTTCTAAAATAGCTTCAAAGGGTCGCAATACTAACCATTACGAAACACTTGACTGATTGTAGCATGAGCGCTATGTTCTAAAACGGAGCATGATGACTCACCTGGTTTCATTTGTGACAAGTCGTGCAAGGTACCCGCAGCACATCTTACAATCTCCTCGCTATCGCTATTCAGTGCGTTCACTAAATTCTGGATCATCTGGGAAGACTGAATGATTGCAGATCTATTCTGTGGGTTTTTAGCCATTGCCTGGGCGGTTTCAGCCGCTTGTAATTGCACAACAGCATCGGTGTCGACTAACATCTGGGCAATTTGACTGATCGCGTCTTTCAGAGTCTGACGCGGCATTTGTTGTTGACCTTGCGGTCCCATTTGTTGCTGCTGCCCCGAAGGTCCTTGTTGTACTACCATATTCGGAGGAACTTGTTGTGGGTTGTTCGGATCAAAAGTCTGAGGCGATGGATAACTCGGAGTCTCGCAAGGAATGGAGTTGGGACCGTTCTCGTAATACATTCCTACACTTCGAGGCCCATTAAAATTTTCATACTGCTCCGGGGTGTAACATGCCTGAGGATATCCAGGAGCACTGCCACTCCAAGAAGCATGCGAGCTATAGACCGAATCCGCATCGTCATCTAGTAACTCATTTCCGGTTCCATTGCTACATAAGGACGGTGGAGCAGTAGAGTGACCGCTGTTCAAACCTGAGTCCAGCATGTAGTTCTGGTGCTGCCATGCGGCTATACTTTGGCTTTTGTTCATCACCGGCTGCTGCTGCTGTTGATGCATGGATCCCGGTGGTGCGTTGGGATGGTGCATCATAGCTTGATGTTGGGCGTTCATATCCATGTAACCAGGATGAGGACCTTGTTGGTTAGGGGGTCCCTGCTGCATCATGTGGGGTGGTCCCCCGGGTTGATTTCCCTGTCCATAAGCTTGCATCTGGGGCTGGTGTTGTTGCTGCTGATAAAATATCGGCGATTGATGTCTTGCCTTCTGTTGCTTATTTAAATTCTCAATTTCTTGTGTGTTCTGTGCAAGCTGCATTCTAAGCTGCGGCAGCTGCTGCTGGTTTGCAGGATCATTCATTACTGCTTTGATTCGTTCTTGACGCTCATGAAGCATTTGCATCATCTGTTCGTAGTTTCCTTGCGGAGGCATTGGACCGAAGTTACTGACTTGTTGCGGGGCAGGTGCCTGCTGCATGTGAGCATGTTGATGCGGTACTCGTGATGCCACGGGGTGACCCGGAGGTCCACCTGGCGGACACATTTGGGCTCCCGGTGAGTCATAATGTTGATCCATGGGAACTTGTTGCTGCGGGACCATCTGAGAAACCATCTGGGGAGGGGGTCCAGCAGGACCTGATCCACTCTAAACAAAATTCAGAATTCAATTTAAAACTGATAAATTCTCTTGCAAGAAAATCTGACTTCTCAATCGTCTTTAAAGATCAAAAAAAATTGCAACTGAAACTTGACTTAAGGGCAATTGAATTCTGACGCCGATTTCCTACGCCTAGGCGACATTTAAAAGTAATTTCTTGCAAAATACCAACCGATATGTACGTAATCATCTGTCTTCGCTAGTCAGTATCACGAATTAATCAATTTATTGCATAAGAAGATAACGTTTCTTTTCGAAGTATTAAATAAGAGCTATGAGGGTAGACTATATATGTACAATTATGTTCAGGTTAAACTAAAAATGCAATTTTATTTCGCAATGCGCGTTGTATAAGAATGGTAGTGTAATATTAATTGAGATAGAGATAGACGAAGTGGTAATAGCAGTAGGATAACGCTAATCTGCTATTCGCAATCCGGCGACCAGGGGGAGGTCCAATATTAATTTGCTACAGTTTGGATTGATAAGTTTATCTTAGTCGGGATTAAGTGGGGATGGGAGCGGAAGTCACGCCAAGCAGGATATCCGAGCACCGCCTTATAGCCAAGTCGCCCCACGTCCCTCCTCCAATTACACGCACAAAACACACTAATAAGCAGTCCGAGATGCTACAAGGGGGTCTAATCGCCACACTGTTAGCGGTCGATAAAACCTCTGCTTGAGAAAAATATCTCTATTTATAAAACTAGTAAACTAATAAATACTTGAGAAATGGAATAACAAGCTTGTCAAGTTCAAATGGAGTTAAACTAAAGAGCTCGAATTTGCGTGGATGTCAAAAATGGGTTTCAAATCCAATTATAGGTTCGGTTCGATCAGTAAATCATTGGTTATTGTGATTAACTCATGCACGCCTGAACCAATTTTGTTGACATTTATTATGGTTTTAATGCTAAACAAATTATGTCAATTTAATTTAGCCGAAATCGAGTCCTTGTTTTGAGTTCAAATTTGAGTTCAAGACCTGAAAATATTCTGACCAAACAGACTAGTTTTGACAACGAATCCAACTTCATAATACGTTGATTCAAAAATATAGCAGAAAAGAAAATCCCAACAAAATCACAACTAGACAATCAGCACAAATTTAGAATTAGGAATGATTAACAACCTAGACAGGAAACAATCTAGAACCAATTTTCACTCATTTGTTGACATATCACAATCTTCGACTGGTCTCATACGTACTGGATTAACAACACTACTGCAATAATATTTTCCTTTCCTGGCGATTACTTCTCAGACCACAAACACCCGTATTCATAAACTATTTCAGTTCCCCGGGTTGAGGAAATAAACAAGACTTAATTCCTAACCAATGGACAAGTCTCAGAATCGCTGATCCCATCAACATTTGTTTCTCGATACAAGAGCCCATGTTCGAACAAAAAAGAAAGAATTATTACCATGAACAGCATTCAAAATAGCATTTGTTTCTGGTATTACAAGCCTAGGATATTGGGTCCACGTAAATAACCTTCCTCCCCCTTCCAATAGACCAAAAGAACTAACAATCTCCACCCCAAAACTCGAACTTTAGAATAATACAAATTTGTTTAAAATGCTCAAGTAGTCGACAGAAAAGTTAGCCGATTAATTTCATTTGGGAGAAAAAATTTGCAACAAAAGTAGCCGTTTGCTGTGCAAGTTATTTGTAACAAGAGGAGCTGTTTGCTGTGCAAGTAGCTCACAATGGTCCGACCACAGTTATTCAAAAAATTGAAACAAATATAATTATGTTTTTATTTCAAGTTTGGGCACTTTTTTGAGCGTGATGTGGAGATAATAAAAAGAAAACTTAGAACATTCGCATTTACTTTAAGTGACAACATTTATCTTTCATACATAAATAACAAAACTAAACAAATGTCTTATTATTTTTTTAATTTTCAACACAATGTATTGAAATTTTCAACTTTTTAAGTACCACTGAAGCGCTACAGGAAGCTTCAATAATTAATTTTATTCTATTTATGCCATCTATTCCAAAAAAAACTTCTAACTGGTTTTTCTAAGCAGTGATCATTTTTTAAGGTCTATCAAATCACGACCGATGGGCATTAAGTATGATGTATCGCTCACCCCATTCTGCTGGTTATGTGTGATATCTAATTTTGAGTGAAAAAAAAACTTAAAACACAACCGAAGACAAAGTTCCTCCCGAAGACAAAGACACTTCAGTGGCGGATCAAAAAAACTGAGTGACCAGTTATTTATAAAAACCAGTTATTTACCCCATTTTATAAAAAATCTTGCTATTTCAAGGCATGCATACAAAACGCATGCGAAAAATTTGAACTCCGCTGACAAATTTTTTCCACAAAAACCATTCGCAAGCAACAATTTTGTAGGTCAATATTGTTCTCAACTCCGAGGAAAAATCGAATACCATTATAACGATACACACGACATTCAGATCTTACAATATCAAGCGCAGTAAAAAACACAGTGAATGCTACGATTGGTACCGCGACAACTCGCAGAAACTAAAAGACAACCCATAGAACAGGCAGTAACACGCAAGACTTGACTAACGCTACCATAAGCGAAGTTTGTACTTCAAAAAAAAAATGCGTAACTTGCAAGTAACAAACACTTGCTCTGCTGACCTTGGCTCAAATGTGCGCGAATCAGTGTTTGCCGCTGATCAAAGTCATTGTTGATCAGTGAGGAACTTTGTATTCGGGTCTGTTTTTTTAAATGTTTTCCACGCAAAACCAGGTACCACAAAAATTAGGGAATAGATTGACTGACATATCACATTAAAACCCTTTCAGCCGTGACACGAACGACAAAAACTTTCAAAAAATTATCCCAGTGTCGAGAAAAACCGGGTTGAAAATTTAAATTTTAGTCATAAATTCGAGTGAGACGAGATGTTGACTTAAAAGCCGCAATCATTTTTGGCAAAAATATGACGCTGACAATAAATATCGAGGCAACAAGAAAGTCGAGGCAACAAAACTTATAGTACAAATGGACTTAATTGTAAGCGGAATACTTGTACTAATTAAATGCCATTTTGCAGGAAAAATTCTACTTATGCTACTTTCATTTAAGTTTTTGAGCATCCGGAATTATTTGGGATCAGACAGTTGATAATTTTCCATGCTATCGATTTGAGCTGAAGAAAATTTTCGTTAATCCGAGAAAACTACGCAAAAAGTTTTTGTGGCACTGTTCTGCAGTTCTGAGAAAAGAAATGATTCATTACAACAGTGTCGCGAACAAGTTTAACAGAGATGTATAGCGGAGCTTCGCACCACTTGATATACAACACACAAACAAAAACATACGAAGGCAGTGAAAAATGAAAAATTTTGAAAAAAATAGGTCTACCAAAAAATAAATTTTCGTAGGTCTCGATATAAGTTGATTCTAGACAAACAAGCCAGATATTTGAATACTGAATTAGCAACGGAACAAAATTTATGAAGAGTAAACAAAACTGACAAAGTCGGAAAAAATATTTTTCACAAATCTGTATAGTTTAAAGTAACTCCTGAAAATATAATCAACAACACTTGCAACTACAAAAAAGTGATCAAACACAAGAAAAATTCTTGATATGGCAACTAAGCCGACACAGGTTCGGCCGGAAGAAAAATTGATTTTATAAAAAAAAATAAAAAATTTGAAATCCCCCTGAAACTAAAATGAAGAACATGAACAACACTACAATGGCTCGGCCGAGACTATACCCTAGGCCTTAGGGTGCTACGGCAACGGCGTTACCTCGAGGCCAAGTGGGAAGAAACTTGGAAGATATATAACTTAAGTTGCTAACGAGAAAAAAGTAGTTCCCGATTACGAGATACTTGCTCTCGCAAGTGTAATTATTGTTCTTAAACTGCGTCAAAGTGGCTTTCAAGACTGTTTCTATTGGCACAATAATTTGATGTCTTTTGTCAAAAATGAAACGTTTCGTTGATGCTTAACCCGTACCAAACTAATAATCTTTCCCTGAAGCAATTCCGGGAGATATAAGAATGGCTTTAACATATAAGAGCAAGCCCATCTCCATTAATCCATCGACCCACAAAATTGTTTTTTACTGAGCAAGCAGCAAGATATTCAAGCAATGAAAATTGTAAAACGAGTTAATCCATACTGTAAATCAGTTTGCACATTTTTAAGTTTATCGAGGCAAGCTATTCAATCACGCTGGCAAGTAACTTTGAACTATTTCAAGACATTTCAACTTGCACCAATTTTCAAATCGTTTGCGTGCGCAAACCATTCAGCTGATCTAAGTTCTCAACATTTTATGTTACTTCATACCTTAGATCGATTCGCAAAAAAAAATATTTCAGTGCAAGCCATACAAGCGATGAAAATCTTCAAATAATTTTAGTTACTTCATAGTGAATCGATTCGTATAAATACTTGCGATAAAACTTGAAAATTTAAAGCGAGCGACGAAACTTGGAAATTCAAACACCATACCGTGAATCGATTCAAAAATATTTGACAATTTTTTTCCGCGAGCAATTACAAGATGATTTACAAAAAGTTTGAAAAACTCATTGCGTGATTCGGTTTGCAAGTTTTTCTGGTTATACTACTTAAGTGCTGAGCCTTTAAATTATGTCAGGTCTTTTCTCAATATTTCAAGTTCAAGTTACATCAATACCGAAGCAGTTCATGAAAAGTTTACGTCTTTCCATGCAACCTACTAAGCGTTGAAACCTTGAAATATTTCAGTATTTCGAGTTAGTTTATCGAGGGAATCGGCTGAAGAAAAGAAATTTATAAATATTTCGAGTTCCATAGAGCGAATCGGTTTGCGAAAAACTTTAGTTGTATAAGCAAACCAATCAAACGAATACACTTCGAAAATCTTAGTGTTATTTCAATGAGCGAATTCGTTCGAAACAATTTCCCTAATTAAAATTAACTTGCAATCTTCGGTAACGATAATTTCGTTGAGCGAATCAGTTTGGGAAAAAACTTCGATGCAAGCTGTTCAAGCGATGCAACTTTTAAAAATTTTAAGTCATTTCATGAGGCGAATCGAATCGCGATATAACTGAAATTTTTTGAATGATGAAACTCCGAATTACGTTAAAATTTTTCAAAGAACGAATCGGTTCGCAAAAAGATTAAATTTTGTTAAGTAATCTATTAAAGCAAAAAAACTTTAAAACATTTCAAGTTGTTTCATGAAGTAAATCAGTCGGCTAAATCTTTAATTTCTCTAGGCAAGCTATTCAAGCGATGAAACTTTGAAGTATGTAAAGATATTTCACACAGAGGCGAAGCTGAGCTTCGCATCACTTGCGATACAAACACAGACAAAAAAATTTAAAACGAGAAGGTCGAAAAAACGAGATCTTTTAAAATAAATAAGGCTAGTTTTGAAACAAAAACATGACGAGACAATAGAATGTGTATTAATCATCAGAAGATAATGTGCCCAGCGGTAACAGCCAAAAATACCTTGTCAGAAACCCCCTAAGCCGAAAAAAAACGACATGACTTCAGACTTCTGAAAAGGTAATAAGTCCATCTCACCCTCAAAACAGTTTGTTTGCTCGTCAAAAGAAACAAAATGAGGACACTAAGCCTATATAATATACGCCGAAACCTATTAAGCCCAAAAAAGAAAAAAGCCGAAAAAAACATTTAGACTAAGAAGATTTTAAGTCCCCCTCAACTTCAAAACACAGACAAGCACACACGAAACCTTCTCTGCTTGTCGAAAGACTCAATATGAGGCCCATATACCAATACAATATACGCCGCAACCTATCAAGCCGAAAAAAAAAGAGAACAAATCAAAAAAGCCGAAAAAAATTGGTATGGAAAACTTGAACTCAATTTCTACTAATAAATTTAGCATTTTGCGCGATCCAGAGGCCAGCCTAAAAAATATGTTTCCGTTGAAACGACTCGAAATTAAGTCACTACGCCGATAAAAAATGGACCGACATCATTTGGGCAGAATAAAGTTTTTAAACGAAAAAATATATTTATATACGACGTCAAGGTTAAATATTTTACAATAAAACAGTAGAGGTAAATCAGAGCACTAAAAAAGCAACTATAAAGAAAACAAAATTTCTTAAAAAAATAATCTACAATATGACAACTACGCCGACAAAACAAACAGACAATAATAAGCCATCAAATTTTTTTTTGAAACGGACTATTTCTAGTTTGATTAAAAAAACAAGTCCGGTCAGTTTCGAACCCAGGCGTAATAGTTACCTCAAGACTAAGTTAAGTGTACGGAGACGCTTAAAAATTTGAATTCAATACGAACCAAGATACCAATTGATTCAAGTGATTCTGTTAAACAAGTTGTTAACCGAAAAAAAAGTATATTTTCCAGTTTGATAACGCTTGTTAATCGCAAGCCTAATAAAGCAAATCTCGCAAAAGTTCTAAATTTTTCTAAGCACGGTGTTCAAGCAAAGAAACTTCAAAAAAAATTCAAGGTTTTTCATAGAGAGAATCGGCTCTCGAAATGAAATTTTGCCAAGCAAGCTACTCAAGCAGTGAAAAATTTATATATCTCGCAGTTGTTTTCATAGCTTGGATTGTTCAACAAAAAAGTTAAAGTTTTTCAAGAAAACTAAGAAGTTTAGAATTTTATCTTGTTATTACATAGAACAAATGGGTTTGCAAAACACTTAGATTTTTCTGAGCAAGGCGTTCAAGCAAAGAAAAAAATTCTGTTTTTTTAAAGAAACAAACTGACTCATTAAACGTAGAAAAAATTCTAAGCAACCTATTACAGCGATGCAATTTTGAAATAATTGGAAGTTAATTTCATACCTTGGATTGCTTCGCAAAGAAGTGAAAAAATTCAAAAAAAAAACAATTGAAAAGATGAAATTTTCAAAAACTTCAAGTTATTTCAGAACGAATCGGTTTGCAAACAATTCAAAATTTTCTACGCAAGCTATCAAAAAAATGAAGCTTCAAAATTTTTCAAGTTTTTCAGGAAGGGAAACGGTCAGAAGCTTAAGTTTTATTTTGAAGTCATTCAACTGATGAAATTTTGAAATATTTCAAGTTACTTCACAAAATGAATCGGTTTGCAAAAAGTTTATCTAAGCAAGCTATCAAAGCAATGAAGTTTCGAATTACTTAAAACTATTTCATAAATTACTTTCAGTTTTCTTAAATCATGTTTCATAAATCACTAAGTCAGTTTGGATAGTTGGTGTTGCATCGCAAGCAAGTAAAATTATTCAAGAAAGCTATTGAAGTGATGAAACATGGAAAAATTCAAATTAATTCATAGAACGAATCGGTTTTCAGAAGGTTCAATTGTTTCGAAATTTTTCAAATGAAGCTACGAAAATTTTCATAGAGTGAATCGGTTTTAGTATTTCAGTTATTTCAAATTGAAAACTTGTCCGCGAAAAGCAGAAGTTTCTCTAAGCATGCTATTAAACAAATGAACCTTTTGAGAAATTACGATGTTGTTTTCATAGCTTGGATTGCATAGCGAAAAAGTTTGATTATTCAAGCGAGCTATTGAAGCGATGAAACATTGAATTATAGAACATTCTTGGCCTTCTCTTAAACGTTAAGCCTAAAAAGTTTTTTAAACGTTGCATTCGACAAAGCTAAAACATTGCGTGCAATTAAACATTGCGTCCATAGCGCATTGGGTCTATAGCGCACTTTCATTTAATATATAAGAAGATAGGATAAGATTTTTTTGCCAATCAGAATTAAATAATTAACTCTCAGCGTTCAGCGATTTTAATCCAAATGAAATATTTGGGAGGAAGTTCCTAACTTGGTCTTTCGGGGGAACAAAATTAAATTGATTCCCGAATCCTCAAAAGATCTTCAAAAGAACAGTTTTTTCTTTACACGAATTCGCATTGCAATATAAACACTTAAAAGAAGAGCAACCCATTGTAAAGAACAGAAAAATCTTTTATTTGAAATTTTGACTTACTTGGCATTGCATCGTGTTGCAGGAGTTTCGTATCGTTTGTTGCTTGATAGCAATTGGCAGTTTTGATTCTTCTAGGTTAGACAGTTGATGCCATCTTATCTCTGAGTAAAAAATGAAGACTGACTTCTAATTGACACCAATAGAACTAATAATTTCACTTTGAGGTAAAGTAGGTTTGATTGGATAGAAAATGTTGACCGATCTTGCTATTCGATTTGAAGCTCTTAAGGTTCAAATAAAATCTGAAAAGCAAATAAATGTTAAATTTGAGTAGAGAAAAGATAGATATAATTTACAAGCTAAACAAGCACAAGTGAAGCGTGTTCTTGGCCAGCGCTTCTGTTCTTTTTATGGTATGTTACGTTATGTTTGAATTAGTGTGGAGCACGTCATACTGAGCAATCAATTCAAACACTTGCTAGATTGGTACTACTACTACACACGGTTACTGGCATTCACTGCGGTTGTGCACGTAACCACCACCACGATATGAAACTGAAGTAGACCATTCTACTTTCGATCTGAAGATTGGACCAAAACCGGTTGAAACGCAACCAAACTCAAATCTTCACTACATTAACGGTCTGAACAATAACACTGCAAGAAAACCCAAAATATAGGTACTATTGTTAAGCAGCAGATTCAAAATTCTATAAACTTAAGCTGGTAGGTTTCAGAATGGGTATCATGAATTTGCACCGTTTGTTTTCAGAGAATTAATATAGAATATGTACAACGGGAATAGTTAGCACGTAGAACGAAAACACCCGCCAGACCATTTCTTGGAGCGCTTTATTTAGAGAATCTGATTTAAAATTTCCAGTCAGGCGAAAACACGTCTCAGTCAATTCCCAACAACTGCGACTAAGATCTTGCAATGTAGCTAAAAGGCGATTGTAGCGATAGAAAATTGATGTTCTGAGAACTGATAGAAGGCGTGGAGTAAAGCTTCGGGTGTTTTTTTTTTCAAAAAAAAAATCAGTTTCTATAATGAAACTTCTAAAAAAATTTTGAGCTATGTTTGATATTAAACACGTTGCAGTCGTGATTCCTTCGATATATATATATTTTTTAAAATTGAAAAACCGCTGAGGAGTCGAGAAAAACGGCATTGAGACTTAATGAAATGTTGATGTTGAGTCGCTCTTCATTTTGACGAAGAACAAATTAATTTTGAGTTATAAATTGTTAGTTGTTTTTATGCATTAATGACTAGTTATCAAAGCTTCTGCCAGGGCCTGACCGCAGCAAAAAAAAAGATTTATTAAATGACCAAATCATATACTTCATAATCACACATACACACGTGGTTGTGAGAGAAGCAGTTGAGCCAAGTCAAGTTTTTTATGACCATTAGATCATTTTTTGACAGTAATTTTGAATATTTCATCATCTAACAATCAAGAATTCATTTATTAGATTAAAATTGAGCGGTTAATTTTTTCAAGCAACAGATATAAGAAAAAGTAGACATTTCAGCAATGTATTTTGATTTCGACTAATGTTGCTGAAGCAACTTTCCCGCACTATGATAAATCATGAAATAAGTCAAAAATTGATACTGAAAGTCACTGCGATTTGTAACATACCAATGAAAAATTTGAATTAAACCTTCGTGAATCTTGTTGATGAGAAAGATTATCATTACATGCTTTGGCGAAAGCTGAACAGTGATTACTATCATCCTTTTGACAGCCAACTAACATCATATTTTTTTCACTCTGATTTCTCAAAAATAAAAAACGCCCCCTTTTAATACACCTGATCCCTGATCTTCCCCGGTATTTTTTCCTCAGACTAGCACACCAGATTTTTCCTTTTGAACTTTGACAATATTCCGTGAAGACGAAACTACACAATCGACTGCGCAGTTCACACTATTTGAAAATAAAATTCAACGGATGCATGTCACGAATTCAACGGGTGCCGGACATCAAGCCGACGGGACTTCAAGCCGAATCGTAAAATTAGGGACTTCAAGCCGAATAGTTCCTTATAAACTCGTGAAATATGATTAATTTGAAAATTTTATTGAAGAATTTCTGAAGTTCTTCACAAGAAGATCTTTCTTCACAAGTTATTGCCATTTTCATAAAATTTAAGCCTCCAAATGATGTTTCGGAAAGTTGAAAAGTAAAACATGGTTGAAGGCATTTTTCATGTTTATAATTTATGCCTTTCAAAAACCGGCTGATGTTATAAACGGATGCCAATCACAAGTGGTGCATTGTCATGAATTCCGTTTATTATGGACTAAACTTGCCAAAATTTTTGAAAAGAAACGTTTTACAGATGATAAAATAGTGTTTTGAGGTGCTTGTAAAGTTTTAATTTCGGCCCGAAGTCCCTTCGGCTTGAAGTCCCGTCGGCTTGTTGTCCTAGACCCGAATTCAACAACAGAAGACATAGCAAAAGCAAAGAATTGAGAAACAATTTTTGACAAGGACATCATCAAACAAAAGAGGAAGAAGAGAAAAGATCTGCCAAAATATACATGTCTTCACAAAAGAATAAATCTTTGCATTTAACCAATATGTTTACTTATATATTGATATTGATTTGTAACCCCGAGTTGGGCGAACAATTTTGTGTGTAACTATTCTCCGGAGAGCGAGTTTGAGGGTAGAACAAAAGTTTTTTTATAACGAAACCTCTAATACTTACTACTTTTCTTAGCCGTTTTCCTGTGCCATTCTGCCAGATTGGCACAGCTCAACCTTCCGGCACGACACGAAAGTAGAAATAGAGGCCTTAGCGATAAAAAACTGTTGCGAAGGAGGGTCAGAATAATCTGGACTTTTGGTTTTCAAAATTTCGGTTTGTGACGTCACATTTCTCAGAAATGTAAAAACGACCATTTTGAGCCAAAAAGTGACAAAAAATAGAACAACAGCTGAAATAGTGAAGAACAGTCGTACGGGAACGATGGAAAAAAACGAAGCCTCTTATCGTGACAATCACGCACGATAAGACAGCTGATTAGAGACGACAGCTGGAAAGGAGGCTTCAGTTGGGAAGGCGTAAAGAGCAGTACCCTCCCGTGCCACGATTTGGGAGTAATAACGACGTTGTTACAGTGAAATCACGGAAGCGGAGGCTCGGCCCCCCAGAGACAGTATATGGTGAAGGACTATAAAGAACAGACTTTTTAGCTACTCTGATGCCATAAACTTTTGAATTAACACCGGTATTATTTGTATTTTAGAATATGAGTAGCTAGAAAGAGGAAAGGGTCAGTCCATCTCCAATGGATTTAATATAGGCCTGTCACCAAAAACATAGAAAAATAGCAATCACGTAGTCTGAGGAACCAAGACCCAGCTATGTGGTTGTGTTCGCATGTAAACGAAAGCTGATTAAAAGTTGTTTGACTGATGGCCTGAAAATAGTAACTTTTTACTTAGCCCTAGACAGACCAGAAAATCAACTGGTTAGGTCGAGACGGTGAAAAACGAGTAGAATCTAGATAACTGACGCCGGCCAGTCGTTTATAGGTACTTTTTCTACGCTCTGTCACTGTGTAGTATTTGGGTGAATGTTACATAGACGTTTTTTATGGCGCTCCTGGGTGGGCCTGTTAAAGGCATAAGACCATCATGATCAGCAAACGTTTCAGCGACGAACCCTCCGCTCCGGGCGCATGCCCGAGTTAGAGGCCTTAATGACCTTTTTTTACTAGGGGGAAGGTGCGGACCCTCCGCCTAGTACTATTTAGCTTTTTAACCTAGTTAGGACCGAAAATTCCGGGGGCCGGAGGGATAGATGGGAAGTCGAGAGCCCGCTTGTTCCAAGGTCCCGGGACCAAAAACAATTAAAGAGAAAGCGTAAAACCAAACGAAATTAGCGTATAACCAAGAAAAAGCCAAAAACAAATTTATCTGAAAAGAAAAAAAGTACAAAAAACAGTAAAAAATCCAAAAAAGACCAAAAACATTTAAAAACATAAAGTGACAGTTTATGTTTTTTTCCGGACGAGATGCGATCTGACCTTCCTATTTGTCGTTGTTTCAGATTGATTTAAATCATAGAAAGATTGAGTGTTTTGGTGGCGGGTTAGGTACCCTCCCTTGAGTATTATTTGGGTAATTAAGCACGTTAATGGTGATTTTGCCAGTGACCGGAGGGTAGAGTGGCAAGCTGACCGACGTGTTCCAGACTCAACAGGGACATCAGGGACAACATCCAAAACGACTGTTTGGTATCTTTGACACAATTTTAGTATGAATTGGGTACTATTTCATTAAAACTTAAGTGGTGGGAGGCACGATTGGCTCGGTCCGATTGTACCCGCCATCGATTGCGAATTTCCGAGTTAAAGGGTCTTCATTCTGGTATTTTGGCGCAAAGGAGGGTATAGTAATTTTGATGAGCGACTACTAATAGATTATTTTCCTTACTATATATTACCTATCTCCTATTTAGACCCGAGAAACACCCCAATTTTGTCGAAAATTACTGATTTTCGAAAAAACTGCTGACCCCCAAAATTTTAGATATCCGAGCTTTTCCGAACAGCAAAAAACTTTTATACAGGGATTTACTACGTAGTTCAATCCCTCTAACTAAAAAGACCGCGCGAAAAAAGACTTAGTAAAAGTTGGCGAAAACAAAATTTTTCGATCAAAATTTTTGTAATTTTCCGAATTTCTTCAATAAGTTTTGAGGATCAAATTTTTGAGTGTTAGAGTTAAAGCGATAAAAGATTTTTGAGTAACCCTCCGAACAGCTCCGTGGATAGAGCAAGAGACTTAAAGATTGGAAAAGGAAGGAACCCGAGGGTCCAAATTTGATAGTATTTGGCCAATTTTTTGTTTCCAAACCAATTTTGGTCCATACTGGGCTACTACGCTCGTTATAATAATTTTTAGGCACTTTCACTAAGAATTGCGGAAAAAGTCTTTCAGAACCTATATAGGTGGTGAAAAAAGGCCAATTTGATGAACGCGTTTTTGGCAATTTCTCAAAAACTAGCCAACCGATTGGGATAACTTTGGTACCATAAGTCGACGTTTTTGACCACTTTCTTGGACCGCAACCGTTTTTGGGTTGATAATCTCAGGACAGAAAATTTTTTTAGAATTTATTGATTCGGAGGGTCCAAATTTTAGGGAACTATCCGAGCGGCAGAAAATTTTATAAGATCACCTTTTTATCCTACTGGGAAGGTTGACCGTGTCAGCCAACCTGGTTTTAAGTCAATTAGACCGCATTCGGAGGCTTTACAGCGGTAGAATAATCCGTTTTCTCGATTTTTGGGGAACCCTCCGAAGTAACCCTCCGGAGTCAGCTAAGCTCCTTAGCAACCCTCCTTGGTGGAAATTTTCCACGAGACCCTCCGAAGAAGTTAAAACAAACCCCAC